CATTTAAATTCAATCCCCCAAAGACTAGTTTTGGGGGTCCCTCAACTAGGGGGCTGCCAGCCTCACATTCATATTACATCAAGACTAAATGAGCTGATCACACAGTCTACTCCTTCGTTATTTGTGTGTTGAAAGCACATGCCCAAAATCATGTCTGCAAAGACAGGCTCCAGGGAGAACACAGACTTTCAGTTTACAGACTGATGCATTTTTTTGCCAAGGGTGCTCATGACATCAAAGGGATATTGACTTTCCCAACTTTGTTGGCAGGTAAAAGAATGTTTTAACAGAACTCTTCTTGGATCGTTTTGAGCCCATGGCAGGGCCGTACTCATAAAATCCCAGTATTTTAAAATAGCGTGGACAATTTGGAAGTCATCTAGTTCAATCTCCTCCTTTTATAGGTGAACTAATTAGGTCAAGAAAGCCTAGATGACTTGTTAAAGATAATCAACTAATCCAGGGATTTTTTCCAACTGGTGTGCTGTAAGAAAAACATGGGTGTGCCGAAGAACTTTTCAAACATGGCAACACCTGACTATTTAGTCAGGGACACTGACCCCTTCTCCCTTAGACTGTCAAATAAAAAAAGAACAGCAGTCAACACAATAATAGCTGTCCTGTGTGAATGAATCAAAGTTATACCTACTTTTTAGATAAGATTAGCAAAAATATATTTTTGGTGTGCTGCATAATTTTAGTAGTTAGTTTATGCATGCCATGAGATAAAGAAAAAGTTGAAAATCAGTGTCAAGCTGAGATACAACCCAGGCTCATACTTTTTCTACCATGATGTTGAAGCCAACCAGAAGTGCCTGAGATTCCTGACAATGTGCCCATCTCTTCTTTCCCTCTTTTATAAATAAATACCTAGAAAAAGCAGGGGAGTGGTGGTGTCAAAGAGGGGTAGCACATTATGAGGAAAGAGCTTAGTTGAGAAATCATTTTGGTTTTTCAACTAATTTTACTACTTATTTGTATTTCTTAGCTTGAGTGTCTTCAGCAAAGTGGGCATAAATTATTGCTGAATAAAAATAAACTGCCCCCAAAACTTAGTATGAGAGTGAATAACTATATAAAGTACCTGGCACATAGTAGGTGTTCAATAAGCCATCTATTATTAAATGATTACTCCTCCCCCATAACAAAGATATATTAAAGTAACCATCTATATGCCATAAAAACCCTTCAGTCTTTGAGAAATACATATTTGACAATACTGACACTTTTACAATAAACTAGTACTTTTACATGTAAATGAAAGTTATACACACACCCACATACAGGTGTCTGTTTTATAAAATCCATCTTTATTGAATGAACAATCTGTAAACACAAGTCCACTCTACACAAATCAATATTCTCCTCCTCCACCTCCCAATATTTTATTTGGATACTTGAAAACAATTAATTGTGTCTTGAGACACAATCTGCTTACTTTTAAACTGCAGAAAGTCAAACATGAAACACTGTATTTTTAAAAGTACAGCAGGCCCTGGATTATGAGGCAGTCCAAATGAGGGTCCAGCTGTCTGCAACCTCCTCTGCATAGGTGATGGAACCCTAGAGTGGTAATTACCCAAGGCTCATCCTCATTGATAAAAACAGCTGTTTAATACTTTATAGTAAATAAACAAAGAGTTTTCATACATATAATCTAAAATGTTCTTAAGAAATCAAGAGAAAGGACACGATGTCCTCTGTGTGGCAACAGAAGCCAGGGTAGGGAATACTTTCCAGACATGTTGGCTCACTAGATGATTGAATTTATATTACTGTTATTAGTTTGCTAGTAAGAGAGTACTACCAAATTGAGTGGCTTCGAACAACATGAATTTGTCTGGCTGTGGGAGGCCGGAAGTCTGACCCACTCCCTCTGTAGGCACTAGGGAACAGGATCTGTTCCAGGCTGCTCTCTCGGGTTCTGCTCTACAGTCCCTTGCCTTGCGGCAGCTGTGGAGTAGGAAAATACTTTCCTCTGCCCTTAAGGTTCATCTGGCTGACCTAAAAATCAAATAGACACAAGACAGACTAGGAAGAGAAAATAATCAAATGTAACACCTACATATGTATGAGAACCCCACACACATGAGAGTCTCAGAGATCCCACATGCACGAGAGGTTCAGAGACAGACAGAGAACATGGGTACAGAAGACATTCTGAGCTAGGGATGAGGTAATGTCCCTTGGGACTTCAGAAGGTCACTGCAGGAGAGCACATGTTCAGTAATTACGTATCAGTTTGCCCTGACATAAAAATACTTAAAGGTCCTTTCTGGTGGTAACTCTTATCATAGGTCAGGCTCCTGATTTAAATTCTTCTAGGTGGTGAAGGTGGGAGTCAGAAGTTTCTTTGGAACCTGCAGGGTTTGTTGACTTTAGCTCAAAATAATCTGCATGCCACTGAGGGTGGTGACTAACATCTGGAGGGTGGTGACTAACTCTGAAACTCACCTGGCTCCCCCAGCATTACTCCAGTCTTCACAGAGCATTTCCCTTGTGTGTGAGTCTGTGTGCAAATTTCCCCTTTTTCAAAAAAATTTTTTATTTATTTCTAGAGAGAGGGGAAGGGAGGAAGAAAGAGGGGGAGCGAAACATCAATGCACGGCTGCTCCTCATGTACCCCCCCACTGGGGACAGGGCACACATCCCAGGCACTGTGCCCTGCCTGGGAAAGGATCCAGGGTCCCCTTGGTATGCAGGCCGGTGCCCAATCCACAGAGCCACACCAGCCAGAGCAAAATTCTCCCTTTCTATAAGGATCTCAGTCACAATGGATAGGGCCCACCCTGATGACCTCATCTTAGCTTGATCTTTTCAAATAAGGTCACATTCACAAGTACGGTACTACGGTTTATATAAATTTTAGATAGACTGTTTAACCAGTAACGATTGCCATATTCTTCCTCCTTTTAACCTTGCCAAACACTGGTGGCAAATGCATCCACTAATTCAGTCATTTAATAAACATTTGAATGCTTATGTAGCAGGTTTTTAATTGGGTTGGGTATTGATGCAAAATGAACTGGATGAAGCCCCTCCCTGTCCTTAAGAAGGCACTCTAGAGGGAATCAGAGACACATTATTTTAGTAATAAGTACAATTATTGAGCACCTACTTCGTGCTTGGTGTTAAAGCAGGCGCTTTTCATTCAGTCTTCACAATATCCCGTGATTAATGATGTATCAGAGACATGCCTGGTGGCTAGGTAGATCCTAAATCTCCCGAGGAGCTGGGGGAAGGAATATTTTCACACATTTAGTTGCACTTTATCTGAGTCTAAAGTAACGTGTAGAAATATACTAGGTAGGGCAAAGGTGTTTGTAGGAAGCAGCAGATTCCAAAGAAGAGCATTTTATAGAGAAAAAATAAGCAAGAGTAAAGTTTTAGAGGTACAAACTGTGAACTCCGCAGAGGGCTGAGACATTAGCCTATTTCCTTCTCTCCTGTATCTCCTGCACTTCGAACAGTGTCTGGTTCATTCAGTAATTGTAAAATGAATATAAGGGCAACACGTGAATAAGGAACAGAATGGCCTGCAGTTCATTGCCCTTGGAAAGATGAGCAAAGGCCGCACTAAATGTAAGAGATTAGAGCTGACACGCTGTTGATATATCGCTAGTATTAAGGAGTTACAGTAAGTCCAGGAAGGCTTGGTTCCCGCCCTGCCAAAAACCCCTCTTCCCTAGACCAAGTACAAGGGTATAGCCTCTCGAGGTCCAGAAGAATGGCACCATACACTCCAAAGTAGGGTTTTTTGCACAAAGCTGGATTGAAGCACGTAGTTTGGCATCGACGTCGAAGTGGAGCCTCCTACTTTCCTCCGTCCACCCCATTTTGCCCTCGCAACCTGCGGAGAATCCTGGAGAGAGAACAAAGCCATCCCCAGGCCTTGCGGACCCCACCGGTACAGTCCCCGAGCGCGCTCCCGCCCTTCGGCCCCGCCCTACTTCCCTCTGGAACGCAGAGAAAGCGCACGCGCCTTTTCAAGCAGAGCGCGCGCCCGCGAGCTCTCCGCATCCCCGTGCTCATCCGGGTCTCAGCGAGCCTGAGCCTATGGTAGATGCTCACGGCCCCCGGAGGCGGGGCTATGCCTTTCTTCACGTGGGGCCTGTGATCACTGGGGTCCCTTCCAGGCCAGGGCGACCTGTTGGCCGAGGAAAGGGACAGAGACAGGGAGCCCAGCGTCTGGGCGAGGATCGAGGGTTTTGAGATTGAGCGGCTGCCGCCCCCTGGAAGTGGCTGAAGTGCGAACACATTCGCCAGTCCGAGCCGCTGTAGTAAACACACTTCAGAAACGTGAGGTGCCGGTGGTCACGTGGGGAGCGCTTCTTCCAATGAGAAGCCGGGGGCGGGACCAAGGCCGCTGACGCGGCGTTGGCGGCGGAGTCACCGGGCTGTCTCAGGACCGGTCACCCGCCGGCAACCGTCCAGCGCCCTCCGACCATCGCCTCCGATCACTGCCTCCGTGCTCCGTTCTCACTGCTACCTCTGGATCCAGAAGCAGCGTGGCCCATAGTGGCTGAATCCTTGCTCATCCCGCTCGGTGGCTCGCCTCGGACGGGCCGCTTTTCCTCTAGGGCCGCCTCGGTAGGGCGAGGTTTCCGTGACGAACCTCCTGGGACTGCGGGTGCCCGCCGGGGCTGTCGTGGCTGCTTGAACTCCTGGAACTTGCTCGCCCTCTTAGGGTCTGCGGCCCTCGAAATTATGCGTGTCGTCCAGGCAGTTGCCGTGAGCGCCGGCTCCTAAAGGGCGTCACACGCGGACTCCGCCGACCCGGCAACCTGCGGTCAGCTTCCAGCTGTGCCTCCAGCGCCCTCTCCTCCGGTCCCTTCCTCGGACTCATTTTTTCCTTCCCCCACCTCTGCCGCCCTGTCCTCACTCTTTGGGTGCGGTGATCCTCCTGGAAGCCGAGGTGTCGGTTATGAGCTGGACCCTTGTTCCTTGAATTTCTCGGTAGAGGAAACTCAGCGGGGACCCACCGCCCGCCGCGCCCCCGGGATGGGGGTGAACGCGGTGCACTGGTTCCGAAAGGGGCTCCGGCTTCACGACAACCCCGCCCTGAAGGAATGCATTCAGGGCGCTGACACCATCCGCTGCGTCTACATCCTGGACCCCTGGTTCGCCGGCTCCTCCAACGTGGGCATCAACAGGTGGCGGTGAGTCAAAATCCAGCGGTGGGGGGTGGGGATTGATCTCGGTGTCTAATGAGCCAGGACTTTACACGCGATCGGCCCAACCTGAGAACTTCAACCTGGGACCGCCTTACTGTGCTGTTGTAAGAATTGTAGCAGCTTTGAGTATTAAATAGAGTGGGTTGAATAGTTCTCTGGCCAAACAGTGCTGGAACTCCTTGGCCTCCGTGTGTGAATTACGTGTGTCGGCGCTAATGGGAACTCTTCCCCTGGATTTATGGGGACTTCTTAGTGGCGAGAGTTAAACAAACGCCCTCCCTTTTCTCAGTGGCCGGTGGGTTGATTTCCTTGGCCTCTTTTGTGGCATTCGAAAGGATTGCGGTTTTTAGTGTTTACTTTTGTGTCTCAGGAAATCATATTATGGAGAAAATTATTCATTCAGTACAGTCGCCTCCAAACCTAGTTTTCTTCCACCTTGAGGTTGCCGAAGGAAAAACAGGGGAAATAACTGCCTGGTTTCTCTTTGCTCAGCTCTTCCTCTCGACTCCTCCTTGTGGTTGACTGGACAAATCACAGATTTTCTTTCTAGGCAAAGGAGAATGCTTCTAGGGATCAGAGCACTGGAAGAACCCTTAGGGACGCTTGATGATCTTTTCCTGAAATACCAGGCTGGATGATTGTTAGGCTTCCCGATGGAAAGGAATAATGGATCCACGAACAGATAATGGATCACCCAATAAAACAGAAAAATTCTTATTTGTAAAGTATATTTTATGCCATATGCTATTAGAGTTGTCCCAATTTTTTCCCCTTTTGCCCCTACTCTGCTCGGTAAACCCCTTCCCTTCAGCAGTCTCCTCCCCACCCCCACCTTAGTTCATGTCCATGGGTCCTGCGTGGAAGTTCTTTGGCTTCTTCACTTCCTATACGATTCTTGACACCCCCCTGTCTATTTGGTGCCTACCAGTAATGCTTCTTAATCCCTGCCCCTTTTCCCCCGTTTTCCGCCTTCCCCCTCCCAGCTGATAACCCTCCATGTGATCTCCATACCTATGATTCTATTCCTGTTCTGGATACTTGCTTGTTTTTTTTGTTTGTTTGTTTTTGTTATTGTTTTGTTTGTTTGTTTTAGATTCAGTTGATAGTTGTGAATTTGTTGCTTTTTTAATGTTCATGGTTTTGATCTTTTTCTTAAATAAGTCCCTTTAACATTTCCTGTAATAAGGGCTGGGTGATGATAATCTCCTTTAGCTTTACCTTGTCTTGGAAGCACTTTGTCTGCCCTTCCATTCTAAATGATAGCTTTGCTGGACAGAGTAATCTTGGGTGTAGGTCCTTGCCTCTCATCACTTTGAATACTTCTTGCCAGTCTCTTCTTGCCTGCAGAGTTTTTGAGAAATCAGCTGATAGTCTTATGGGAACTTCTTTGTAGGTAACTCTCTGCTTTTCTCTTGCTGCTTTTAAGATTCTCTCTTTATCTTTTACCCTTGACATTTTAATTATGATGTGTCTTGGTGTGGTCCTCTTTGGGTCCAGCTTGTTTGGGAGTCTCTGTGCTTCCTGGACTTGTATGTTGATTTCCTTTGCCATGTTAGGGAGGTTTTCAGTTTTTTTGTTCTTCCTCTTCTCTTTTCAGCACTCCTATGATTTGGATATTGGCATGTCTGGAGTTGTCCCAGAGGTTCCTAAGACTATCCTCATTTTTTTGAATTCTTGTTTCCTTTTTCTGTTCTGTATTAAAACAGACAAAAATTCTTGTCCTTTTTGAGCATATGCTTCATAAAGTTAAGATATATAGTATTTGGTGGTGATAAATGCTGTGGAGAAATATAGAGTAGAGAAAGGGGATAAAGAATACAAGAGGTTGGAATTAAAGTTGGAATTTTAAATGTGATTGGGAAAAATTGAGAGAAGGTGGTAAGAGAACAAGGTGATGAAACAAATACGGATTGCGGCTATCTAGGGGAGAAGCATTCCAGAGTGGTGAAAAGGCCCTAAGGTGGAAACATCAGGGAAAAGGCCCTAAGGTGGAAATTCCCTTAACCGTGGGAAGAAACAGCAGAAGAAGACAATATACCTGCAGCAGAAAAGCTGAGAGGAAAAGTAGTAGATGAGTCAGAGATGTAACAGGGCCATATTGAGGAGAACTTTATAGGTAGTTGTCAAGCTTTGTGCTTTTAATCATAACAAAGTGAGAATAATTACAGGGTTATGAGCCAAGAAGTGAGTGATCTGACTTAAGTTTGAAAATTTTCTCTGGCTGTGCTTTGGAGAACATACTGAATGTGATGGGGGAGGGGTGGTGCAGGTGGACAAGAAGCAGGAAGTCCAGTTAGGATGCTGTCTGTTCACCTAGGCTTGGACCATAGTGATAGTGGTATATGTGGTGAGAAGTAGTCAAAAGCTGAATGTATTTTGAAGGCAGAATCCATAGTATTTGTTGGCAGATTAGATATATGATGTGGGAGAAATAGAGGAATTAGGAATGCTTTCAAAATATTTGGCTCAAGGAACTAGAAGGATGGAACTACGCTTTGCTAAGAAAGTGAAGTTAGTCAGAGAGGCCATTGTCAGGGCGCTTGGAGTTCTCTTTTGAACTTGGTTAAGTTTGAGACGTTTATTGCACATCCAGATGAAGATAGCATTTATTCATTGAACATACTGGTCATGCACCTAATATATGCAGATACTGTTTTAGGTGCAGGACATTCAGCATAAACGAAATAGCTAAGAAACAAAAACAAACAAAAAATCCCTACCTTGTTGAAGCTGCATTCTAGTGAAACCATGAAACTATATGAGGGCATTAAGAAAGATAGAAAAGAGAATAGTATTGAATGTTAACTGTAATTGAGAAACAAAATTTAAAAGAGAGAGGGGAGGTCCATTGACCGAGCCTTGGGTACTCTAATGTGTGGATATTGAGAAGGAACATCTAGTAAGATAAGAAAACCCAGAGGACTGGAGTGTCTGAGAAGCTAAGAAATCACTTTAAAGAGTTTTTTAACCTATGTCAGGTGTTGTTGATAGATAGGTCAGGTGAGATAAGGGTGAAAAATTAAAAGTTGGATTTAGCATTTTGAGGCCATTCATAATCTTGAATTGAGTGGTTTCAGTAATGCAGAGGCAAAAAGCCTTTTTGGAATGGCTCAAGAGAAGCTGGCAGGAGAAAAGTGGGAGGCGGCTCACATAGACAGCTCTTCTAGCTCTTTTAGTTTTGCTGTAGGGGATCAGGGAAATGGTGTGGGGTATGAAGTCAAGAGAGTATTTTTTTTAAGATGTTTGGTTGTTGATGCGAATGATATAGGATGTATATATAAAATACTCATTAGCAGAATTAGTGTCATTAACATTGATTCTGGGAAAAGATGGTAAATGTAATATATATATATATATATTTTTAAAGATTTTATTTATTTATTTTTAGAGGGGGGGAGGGAGATAGAGAGAGAGAGAGAGAAACATCAATGTGCGGTTGCTGGGGGTAATGGCCTGCAACCTAGGCATGTACCCTGGCTGGGAATCGAACCCGGGACACTTTGGTTCCCAGCCTGCGCTCAATCCACTGAGCTACACCAGCCAGGGCTGAAATGTAATATATTTTAATGTATTAATAATATCTTGCAGTTATATAGTAATAATTCCCTCTTCATAGATTGTTAGGAGCATTAAATTACTTAACAAATGGAACCTGCTTAAAATGTGAGTGGTAGTAGTAAGTGCTTGTCATTTGCTATTAAATTGGAAGCCCTAGGTAAATACTAATTAAATGTCTGTAGTAAGTTTCTTCTAGAGCAATTTATAAGCTTATAAAATCTAGACTGTAAGGTTCTGTAAGAGAGGAATTATATATTGTTTAACTTTGTATATCCAGCAACTCACATTGTCACATAATGAGTGATATAAAACTGGTAAGCACAATAGGAATAGTCCCATATTTTCCTTTTTTAAAAAGATTTTTTAAGCTAGTAAATATTCCCTTTCTAAAAGATGGATAAAGATGTAAATAATGAATAGACAGACTGTTTTCTTCTACTGAAGACTAAGTTATAAAAAGGCAGGGACAGAGTTTTATTTAGTCTGTTCTTATAGCACCAAATTCAGTGCCTTTCATAAATAGTAGCTCAATTATTATTATTTGTTAAATGAAATTATATCCATGAGTCAGTAATTTTATATTTAAACAACTTTATTTATTTCCCTATTGATCATAGGATAATGTGCAGACTCTTTAGCCTGGATTCAGGCTATCATATGGGTTTCTGTCTTCTTTTTTTCATGCCCTTTCCTTCAATCAACATTTCTTGGATTTAACAGAAATCACATTTAAAAAAATTATTTTATCTAAGTGAACAAAACTACCTTTTGATATTGCCATCATTTCATTAAAGAAGATGCTTTAATGTAAAAAAAAAGTTTGAAGGAAGTTGTTGCAAAATAAAGGACAGTTCTTTGACTTGAATAAATTAAAGTTTATGAAAATTCTCTTTGCCTCATTTGATCTTAGACCAGTGAAAGCTTTATCTTGAATTTGTCACTTTTGGATTGAATGATTTAAAATAGTTCAATTCGTTTCTTCACTTATCTCGTAATAAAATTATATCACACAAAACATATGTATAAATGTTCATAGAATTACTCATAATTTCTTACTAGTCATAATAGCCAAAATATGGAAACAACCCAAAGGTCTATCTACTGATGAAAGGCTCCATAAAATATGGTATATCCATAAAATGAAATGTTATTCAGTTATAAAAGGAAATGAAGTAATGGTACATGCTACAACATGAGTGAACCTTGAAAACGTGCACAGTGAAGAAGCCAGTCACAAACCCCCCGCATATTATTTGATTCTATTTATATAAAATGTCCAGAATGGGCAAATATGGAGAGACAGAAAGTAGATTAGTGGCTTCTTAGCTTTGGGAGGGTTGGAAGAGTTGGGAGGTGGTAACTCAGGGTCACATGGTTTCTGTTTGAGGTGATGAAATGCCCTAGCAGGTTGCACAACTCTGTAAATA